ATTCCAGAAAAATCCAAATCTCTTTTATTCCACTTTTTTAATTCTAATTTCTTTTTCTTCTTTTTTAATTAAAAATCCTAATAATTAAAAGTCCTAAATTATCTTAAATGTGAAATTAAAATAATTAACTAATTATAAAAATTATAAATATCACTTAATTCTAAATTAAAAGAGAAAAAATCAATAAACTAAAAATTAAAGGACAAAAATGTAAAAATGAGCTATTTTTGTGATTTTCAAATTTCTATAAAACAAACAATTATTGATTAATTCTAAAAATGTAAAAACAAACCCTAAATGCAATGCATTATATTTTTGATATTTTTTTCATGATTTAAATAAAAATTAAACATGCATAGAATGCAAATAATCAAGAAAATTCTAGAAAAACTCCTAAAAATGACAAATAATTAACAGAAAAATCTATTTTCTTGGGATTCTGTAGGAGTAATTCATATAGGGCAAAAACTACATACTCACAGGGTGGACATGTGGGGTCGGATTGCACGCCACAATATCATTATATGATTTGGATCGGGTTGCACGCCGCAATAATATTATATGATTTGGATCGGATTGCACGCCGCAACTTCATTATATGATTTGGATCAGGTTGCACGCCGCAACAGTATTATATGAGTGGGATCGGGTTGCACGCCGCAACAAGAAAGAATAAAAGTGAATATTGATTTTTATGGTGAGAACGAGAGTAAAAGCACGAGAAATAAAGCACGAAGGGTGATGCCGTGCACTTTCTGTTTGTTGTGTTTATTTGTTGTTATCAATTCAAGTGTTTTAACTGCTTAGATTCCTTTACTGCTGTGATCCTTTGTGTTGGAATTTATAGTGTTTTCAATACCTTACCGTATTTACATATATATACATATTTCAAATTTCAAAATTTGTCACATTTTTAATTCAATTAGTTACTCAATTAAATTCCCTTAAACTGTTTGAAGTTATAATTTACTTAAAAGAGAATTTCTACTATGTTAATTTATTAAATCCCATATTAAAGGTAATAATTCATTCGATAATGGTACTTTCTTTATTCAAATGATTTCTAAAAATAACTTCATCTTTTCTTGGTGAGTTCCTAATTGGTTTAGAAGTTGTACTCTACTTTATGTTATGTAAATGAGACTCCTGGAACATCTTAATTGCATTAGTTATGAGTCTTATGTACTGAATAACGTGAGAACGTTGTTGTACAAAGTGAGACAAAATATATGGGCACAAGTGCCGAGTGTGCTAAAGGTTTGGAAGTTGAGGTTATGATATGAGACATCGAGTTCTGAGATGGCTGGGGTTGTTCACCAGAAACAATATGATTGATTGAGTTGACACTGTCTTCCTTATTTGAGTTTATTCTACTTCTGTGTGTTCCAACTATATTTGTGTTGATTTATTTGGTTATCTTTCGTTTTCATCTAAGTTTCCTTTTATTATTTTGACTATTTGTAGATTGATTTATCCATGCTGTTGATATTATTTCGTTACCTTTATCTTGATATTTGTTATCATATCCTGTTTAATCTGTCTGACCAGTAGGTGTCTTGACTGTTCCTTGTCACTACCCCACCGAGGTTAGTCTTGATACTTATTGGGTACCGTTATGGTGTGCTCATACTACACTTATGTATATTTTTGTGTACAGATCTAGGTATTTGATCGGTAGTAGCCGTGTGGGTTGTTGCGGTGGAGACTCAAGGTAAACCTGTTGCAGCGTTCGCAGGCCTCGGAGTCACCTTCACTTGTACTTACTTCCATTTGTTCCTTTTATTTTTGGAACAGTGATGTATTTATTTTGTATAGCTACTCTTAGAAAGGCTTATGACTTGTACCACCGATTTTGGGAATTGTAATTTGTTAAGAGTTATTTAAATTAATGATAGCAAATATAATTGTTATCTCAGTTAATGTTAGGCTTACCTAGTTTAGAGACTAGGTGCCATCACGACTCCTTTGGAGGAATTTTGGGTCGTGACACAAATGTATTTTTCTAGATAAGGACTGTTTAATAAAACATATTCCTAGAAGTAAACTATTTTTACATGAACTGGGCAAAGAAATAACTAGATGCTCAAGAACATCAAAATCCACACGTCGGAATTGATGTTCCATTGCATTTAAGTAGTGGGAGAACGTTAATAGACATGATATACCTTTATTGAGTGGGAGTGATGTTTGAACAGTGAACACAATAGTAGAAGTTACTATTATTTCAATGTCGTAAGGTAATGAAGGTAATATTAATAGTACTTCGTCGTAGTGGGAGAATGCTAAAGAAAATCATAGTTCGGTGCACACTCTTGGGATAGTTTCGGTAACAGGATCCCTGAAGAGTTTAATACCAAATTAAACTAGATAGTTACGACAAAACACTATTGGACAAATATTGCATCAGATATAACTTGGCAAGATTCTTTAACAAAACCTTATTTGGTGAAGACTTTTAATAGTCATATAAAAGAATGCCTGAGAAAGTTGTATATGCATGGTTATGAGTCTAAGTGGGAGATTATTAGGGCATATACTATTAATCATGCATTTGGATATAGTATATTCTAATAATTGTCATGGTTAAAAGTCTAAGTGGGAGATTGTTGGGATATATACTATTAACCATGGGTTTGGTTTAGATATAGTATTTATTATGAAATAATTGGTTATTCAGTTTTAATAAAGTTTTAAATAGATCATATATTAGTCTGTTTCCTTTGCTTATATAGTAGATGATTTAGTGTATAGAGTTTAACTTATACACGGAAGATTAAATCATCGGTTCTTATAAGTATACTGTTTGAGTTCACAATCTAATGATGGAATTGGACAAACCATCAGGAATGATTGTAGCACAAGATTAAATATAATTTATCTTGATTATGGGAATGGTTTAATTCTAACTTCTTGTGCTAGTATATTTTGTATGTATTGAACGGACCAAGTAGAGATAAGTATTTTATACTGACTTAATAAAATAAACTCTCTAGCCATTAAATATACTTATACTCTTGATCTTGATATAATTATTATTAGTTGTGTACATTATTATTATTTTGATTTATTAAAAGGCAAGATTCTTTCGTGGGTCAATATGCCTGGTAAATTGGATAATAATAATGTACATTGGCGAATAATAGTTAGTTGATGGAATCTATGTCTCGGTTTAAAGATTGATGATACACCTTTATGAAAGCTTATAAGTTTTCATGTGCAAACCCGGCCGATGAATTTTGTATTCGATACATGAAATAAGTTAAGCGAAAGTCTAAAAGAAATAATCAATAAATTAAATCGTCAGTAATTTAATTTAATTGATTAGTATCTGAATCTTAACATGGGAAGCTAAATAAGATTTAACTGATGAATTTCGAAATTGAATAAGGAGTGCAATTACAAATTTTTAGTGGAATAATTCGTAATTAATTATGGTGAATATTAATTTCGAAAATTATAAATTAATTCCATAATTGGAAGCCTTGTTAATTAAATTCAGTGGTCCCTACTGTGCCTAAAGAATATGAAATAAAGAAATCCTTTTTCTAGTGGAAAAGAAAAACCCAACAGGTTTTGGAAAAGAGTTTTAGCCCTTAAAACTTGTGCTATAAATACATAAGGTTTTCCACCTATAGGAATGAGCAGATGGTGACCAAATTTCAGCCCCTTTTCCTTAGAAAATTTCGCCCACACGAAATTGTTATTTTCGGGTATTATTTGGGTAACACAGTAGAAGATCGTGGAACGTTCGGAGACTGTGATCGTGCGGGTGGTAGAGAATTCATTGAGTTGCTGTGGAATTGAAAGCTCACGTGATAAAGGAGCTTTGTGCACGCTTCAAGAGGTAACTCGTGAAATCTCATTTGTGCTAGTTGTCTAGATTACATGTGATTTTGATACTGAAATTGCTTCCACTGCTTATTATAATCTATCAGAAATAAAATAACATCAATATTTTCTTCCATATATATATATATATAAGTAATTTAACTTTATAGTTTCTATTATACATTAACACAAAATTTTTATAACTACACAAATATTTGTCCTTTTAACCGTTATGATCATAAGTTTTTTTCCGCTTAAGTTTCATGCTGCGCACCTACTTCGAATTCGGCAGGAAAAGGAGTAAGTTTTTTGTGGGCATTGTGCACTTACTTTTCTTTTCGAAACATAGGGTTGTAGGGGATAGGAGAATTAATGGGTGTTGGATACTTTAAATTAAAATAAATAGAAATGCAAGAAAGGAAGTGGGAAGTAGAGAAATGGCATATATAGTACTTCAGTCAGACTGGCGTTTTATTCTTTCTTTGAAACATTAGACATTTGTCTCTGTGAGAGCTTTTCTTCATTCTTGAACCTTAGGACATTTGTCTGTGTTGTATCTATAAAATCAGGGAGGGGCCTGTACCTAGGCAGTGACTTATGTTAGTAATAAAAACATTTTTAACAAGAAGTTGACAGCTGCTGCATTATGAAGTGGTTATATTTTAAGGATATTGCTATCTTACTCTAATTTCTACACCCGTTGCAACTTGCATTCTGCTAACCTTAAATGAGATAGTCATGATTCGCGTAATCTAATTTGGACACTATCCTAATAAAAAAAGGTACTTGCGCTTCGATTTATTAATTTGAAATTTTACTTAAAAGCTTGATCAAACACTAATTGCTGCTCAGAAGTATTTTTTCAAATTAATTAGCTAACCACAAACTGTTTCTCACCAAAAATACTTTTAAAAAAAACACTTTTCAAAAAATACACTTTTAAAATAAACTAATTTTTGCAGCTTGGTCAAACAGGCTATTGATAAACCTAAGTGTGACTGGAAAAATCGAACGTCCATAGCCAAAGCATCACGCACTTGGGACGCGTGGTTCATCGTACAATTCCGACTTGACAATTCACAAACAAAAAACATCGCAACTTGCCATGAAAATCTAAAGTTATAAGTCTGGTAAAGATTTGTATTATCTACTATAGTACGTAGTACTAGGAAAAAAAAAGCAGGGAAAAAAGATAGCACTACCAATTTGTTTTTTTCTCAACAATTTTCACTCTCAAGAAATCCATTATGTCATCATCCACATCTTCTTCTTCTTCTTAATCTCGTACACCTACTAGCAATAATCATAGACTTAATAATAAAACCATGGAAGAAGTTTGGAAAAACATAAATCTTTCTTCTCTAAATGACGACACTACTACTTCTTCTAGAGATCATATTGATCCACAACAAAATATTAGTAATTCTACCAATTTTGGTGGCATGATTTTACAAGATTTCTTGGCTAGGCCATTTGCTAATAACCCTAAAACAGCAGCAAAAGGCTATGTCCCCCCTATTTTTCCTCCTCCTGCTGCTGCTGCTGTTACTGTGTTGACATTAAACTCTGGCCCTGGACTTCATTTCTTTGGTAACTTAAGGCAAAACTCAAGTTCTGAGCAGCAAAAATCTATTTCTAATACGTCATTTGAGGATTTGGCTTCACCAGTTGGAGGGAATACTAATGGAAGAAAGAGGTGCAGTGAGTCTGATGATAACAATTCAAGTGACCAGAAAAACAAGAGGATGATCAAGAACCGTGAGTCTGCTGCTAGATCAAGGGCTAGAAAGCAGGAAAGTGCAGCTTCTCTATTTACACTCCCAACATGTGTTTTTTAGTCTATTTTTAATGTGTTAACTTATTACCGTTTCATCTAAAATCTCTAAGTCGTGTGAGAGAGCACATTTTGATTCTTTTGTATAGGTTAAGCACGTTGAATTTTCTTTTATGATATTGGGTGATGATACCATATTAAAATATATGTGAGTGATTATATCATCTAAAAATTTTATTTGTAAAAAAAGTATACTTTTATTTAATTAATTCTATTTTTAACAGACAAGAAGTTCAAACAATAAACAAATAAATGTTTTTGTTCTACATAATACAACATGGTATTGGAATAAGTAGAGGTTTGGTTATGAGTTTGAGTTTAATTACATGTCTCAAGCTTTAATTTTATCGCTAATCACACTTCAAACCTATGAAAAAGAATTATTTATTTGATGAGCTCCAATTTTGAACTAAATATTAAAGTAATTCTTAGATATCTAGCTAAAGAAAGTCCAAACAAAAGTACTTCCTCCGTTTCAATTGAGATGACACACTTTCCTTATTAGTCCGTTTAAAAAAAATGACACATTTTTACAATTGAAAATAATTCAACTTTAAGCTTTTCATTTTACTCATTTTACGCTTAATGAGAAGCTTTTATAACCACATAAATATCATGACCCCACAAAACTTTTATCCCCTACAGCTTTTAACACTATAAGTTTCAAAAGTTTTTTTATTTTTCTTAAAATTCATGCCGAGTCAAACTACCTCTCGTAAGTATAAGAAAGGGACATTAATCATGTAAATGGGGTGTATACAAACAGCAAGTAGGTAGAACAAGTTAGGAACATTATATTCAGAAGGACATAAATCTTTATTAATGAATTTTTCTTGTTCTGTTTTGGTCAGTGTTTTCCTGTGTATAACTTGCAGGCTTATACGAATGAATTGGAGCAAAAAGTAGCCCATTTGATGGAAGAAAATGTCAGGCTCAAGAAGCAGCAACAGCCGGTATTATTTTTTTAACTGCTATAATAAAAAATTTGTTATTCCTAGAAGACATCCAGATTTCCTTATTGAGCTAAGCTTTTTTCTTTTTATAACTAAATTAGTTCTTGAATTTAGAAACAAGTGTATGTATACAAAAGACTGATCATTTTCATTCATCTGTCCTTGTGGTCAGTTATGCTTAGCAGCAGCTGCTCAACTTCCAAAAAAGAAGTCTCTCTATCGAACTTCAACAGCCCCATTTTGAGAAATATCAGAGGATGTATGTGAAATTTCTACATATTAATCCACACTGTCCTTTTTGGTGGCCTCTTTTATGTATTTCTCTCTAGAAAGAGAAGGAAAATAGATGGTGATTTTTGGCAAAGTGAAGGGCATGATCAAATGGGAAGACAGTTTATGCCTTTTTTGGCAATGAAATCAACAGCCAACAGCCAAGGGATTTTTTTTCTCTATGAGTCTATGATTTTGCTTGTTAGTTTCTTTTGGAATCTTTCTATCCAAAAAGCCTAAAGGGGTTTGGCTGGTTTCTGTTCCTTGTTTTAATGTAATGTAAAGTGAGTGGTTGAATGAAGATTAGACCTTTGTAGTGTTATAATAATAATACCCCTCCGTTTTAATTTTTAATTTATGTGAATGACTGGATACGAAGTTTAAGAAAAAAATGAAGATTTTTGAAAATTATGGTCCTAAACAAATCAGAATAGAATCTATAGTATTTTTGTGGTTATAAATTTTATTAAGAATAAAATTAAAAGTTTAAATTAAATTATTTTTAAATTTAAAAAAAAATCATTACTTTTTAAATCGATCAAAAAGAAACGGAGGAGCTAATAATAATAGCTGCAACAGAACATTTTAGTAGTAGCATTGTTTGTACAATGTACAGTAAGAATCTTTATTTTGGAGGACAGATTTTTCGCCATCACTTTATCTACGCTGACATCACAGTCAGTCAGTCACTATAAATTGTGGCCCATTTCTGCCCTTTTTTCTCTCATTTATCTTATTGTTGATGGTGATGCGTGATGCTTTGCATTCTTTGGTTCCATTACAAAGGGCATTTGGTTCAAATACTAAAGTTTTTGCACTCTAATTATGTTTCTACAGTTATAAAAAAAAAGTTATATTTGTACCTAAAACATAGTATAATATTGTGTTTTACTTAATAATTCATTTTTATACTGCGTTTTATTTTATTTTTGGGTCCACCAAGAAGTGTTTTGTGGATAACTGACATAAATAATTTGTTTTTTTATGTAAAATGTTTATACTGTGTTTTACTAAAGCGAAGTATTATACTGCATTTTACTTCATTTTTGAGCTCACCAATAAATGTTCTGCGGATAACTGACATAACAATAATTCAAATACATAAAGCGTGGTATTATACTGCGTTTTACATAAAAAATATTTTGCACCCCAAGCTAGGACTTGCCTTATTTAAAGGCGTTAGGATTTTATGAAAATTCATTCAAAACTTTCCTTCAAACTTCCGTTCATACTTCTCTTCTTCTTATCAAGTGTTTTTTTATAATGTCTGAAGAGCCAAAAATAAGGGTTTCATTATATTGGGGGGAGGGTGAAATTGTAATGGAGAATAACTCTGTGAGATATAGTTCACCTCCACAGTGTCATGTTAAATTGCCGCTTACAATGGAGTACGATAAATTGGTATCGTTGTTATGTAAAAAAAATGAGTGTGAGGAAACGTTCGGTGAACCTTAAAGTAACAAGTAGATTTCGTATTCCGTGACTCCATAGGGGTTTGCTTATTATTCTGAGTTTAACATCGAAGATGATGAAACTCTTAGAGATTTTTTGCGAATTCCGGATGAATATAGAGAATTTATTGTAATAAAATTGTTGGAAATGTACGTCAAGGTTGAAGACGTTCCCAATAATGAGGGTGTGCAAAGTAGGGATAACCCCCAGTTATCGGGTGGTTATTCTGGAGCAGTTTTTGCCGGACAGATTCCTGATGAAAGAGCTTGCCTTGATTTAAACTTGTCACTACTGGCGAATGAGCAGCGAGAAAATAATTTTTCGACTTTATATAATTCACAAGACGACTGGTAAACTTCAATTTTTCTACACTTTAGCGATGTTTATTTTATGTTTGAATTGAATTTGTATTAACACTCATATTTTTCATAGGGGGTACCGTCCGGATATGAATTTGCAAGTTATGACCCCGCTCCTAGTTGGAATATCCATAGTTCTGGCGTGTTGGACCACGGTGGTCCATCCGGGAGTCATCACCAACAAGAAAATGTCCATCATGGAACGTCAACACAGTACGACTTGTAAGTAAAGTAATATAGCTATATGTAAAGTATTTATCTAGTTAAGTAGCTTATCATTTTGTTCTTTTTGTGCAGTGAAAACGAGCAACTTGATGTTCCTGACCTCACACAGTTGCCCATAGACGACGTATTGACTCGTGATTTGGCAGATACGCAGAGTCAGGAAGATGATAATGATTATGACTACAATGCCGATAAGTCTGGAGATGACACACCCTTCCCTGATGAGGGTGATGATGAGGAGGAAGTGAATGTCGAACCTGAGCTGACGAGGGAGCATGCTCCTCCACCTCCCGTTAGACCAAGAGTGTACGAGTCACACGTGCCGTTTCATGAGCGGAATATTCCCTACCTTGATAATTTTCCAAGTATGCCGGACATGGATGCCCTCACAAGGGATGCTGATGAATGTTGGTCAGCAATGCGGGATGAGCCTAGACCAGAGGTGCTGACAAAGGGTATGTATTTCCCCGATAAAGCTCGCATAATCAGGGCTGTAAAAATCTACAGCGTAAGAGAGTGCCGTGAGATGACGGTAAGGGAGTCAACTACGGAGGTATACAAGGTTGTATGCCGTAAAAACTTTATAGGTTATCACTGGATGTTGCGTGCCAGCAAGAAGAAATCAGAGTTGTGGAAAGTGGGTAAATATATTAGCACCCATAGATGTGAAATGGACACATTCAATGAGAATCACTTCAACCTAGATATAGACTTAATTTCTCTTGTCTTGATTCCATACTTGGAAGTGTCCATTAGGTTCAAGATTAAAGAGTGTATTACAGCCGTCCACTAGGAGTATGGGTGTACTATAACCAAAAGAAAGGCATATCTCGGACGCAAACGTGCTTTTGAAATTATTTATGGTGACTGAGATAAGTCATTTTCATCTCTGCCCAGGTACATGGCCGCACTGCAACACTTTAACCCTGGGGCTGTTGTTGAATGGAGGCGTGAGCAGAGTCCGGACAGACCCGAATATATTTTCAACTATGTGTTCTGGTTATTTAAACCAGCAATTGATGATTTTGTGCATTATCGTCCTGTAATTTCCATAGATGATACTCATGTCTATGGAAAGTATGATATTAAACTTTTGATTGTAGTTGCAGTAGATGCCAACAGACAAATATTTTCACTAGCTTTTGCCATTTGTGCCAATGAAAGCGAAGAGACGTGGACGTTTTTTTTGAACCACTTGAAGCAACACGCTGTCAAACATCATTTAGGTATTTGTCTAATATCTGATCAACATGGTGGTGTTTTAAGTTCTGTACGACATTTGCCTGAATGGCAAGAACCCTATGCACACCACCGCTACTGTGTGAGGCACCTGAAGGCCAATTTCCAGAAGAAATATCACGACAATGTCTTGCATGGTTTAATATGGATGGCTGCAACTGAGCACCAGCAGTGCAAATTCACGAGGCGCATGAAAGCGATCCGACAGTTAGATCCACGAACCTATACTTGGCTGATGGGACATGAGCTTCACATGTGGACATTGCATGCTGATGGTGACAGACGATGGGGAGCCCTAACTGCATATGTGTCGGAGTCATTCAACGACTTGTTGAAGTCTGCACGTGGATTGCCTGTCATTGCCATGGTCTGGATGACATTCAAACAGATTGCGGAGAGGTTTGTTGAAAGGCATAGAGCTACATCAGTATTGATGGACCGGGGTGTTCAATTTATGCCAATACCGATGAGAAGATTTGAGAAGTACAGGAGGCGAGCACACTGGCATTCATTTGTACAGTACGATCACGACCGGGGTGTTTTTGAAGTTCGCACAGAGGATATATCTATGAGTTCTAGGCTCGATATTTGAGGTCCAGTAGCACCAAGCTATCCTGAATTCTTACGTGTGTCAATTTCAATAGTTTTACAATTTTATTTGTGTTATAATAATTAATATTTAATTATTTAATTGGACAGAGTATATATCTATGGGTTCCAGACTCGATTATTGAGGCCCAGTAGCACCAAGCTATCATGAATTCTTATGTATGTCAATTTCAATATTTTTAAAATTTTGTTAGTGTTATAATAATTAATATTTAATTATTTAACTGGACAGAGTATATATCTATGGGTTCCAGGCTCGATATTTGAGGCTCAGTAGCACCAAACTATCCTGAATTCTTATGTGTGTCAATTTCAATATTTTTAGAAATTTGTTAGTTTTATAAATTAAATATTTAATTATTTAATTGGACAGAGTAGATATCTATGGGTTCCAGGCTCGATATTTGAGGCCCAGTAGCACCAAGCTATCCTAAATTCTTATGTGTGTCAATTTCAATATTTTTACAATTTTGTTAGTTTTATAAATTAAATAATTAATTTTTAATTGGACAAGGTATATATCTATGAGTTCCACGCTTGATATTTAATTTGACAGCATATATTAATTTGTTAGTTCTATGTGTTTGTTTTATAAAGTGTAATTGGATAGTGTAACTGGATAGAGTTTGTAATTAGTAGATACTTAAACTACAGAGATTCTACTCTAAAAGGCTATATATTTTACTGCACTAAAAGGCTCTATAGTTTACTATGCTAAAAGGTTCTATATTTTACTACGCTAAAAGGGCACTATTCTTTAAGCAAATAAATAATCTTAACTAAATAAAAATAACAAACATATGAATATAACATTCATGAAATTACATATAAAATAGTAAAAGAAATTTATGAACATTTTTATTAACAATAAAAATTATTTCTCAACTTTTAATTATTTTTTTAAACACTAATAATTTAATCCGGATAAAAATAACATACAAATTTAATCGCAAATAAAACACAAATCAATGTGTAAACACATTCAAGAAAACAAATATGCATAATTATACGAGTTTCGACATAAACTAAATCGGAATACCTCGATTTATGTTTTTAGAAATGTCGGAAATTTAAAATTTTGAGTCCGAAACAAAGAAACCACAACAATCGAAGGCTTGGGTTGTATGCAGGACCTACAATCTTCACTTTTTGTGTGACGGGTGGGGACCACTCGAGTTTTTTTTTAAATCGGGGGGGGGG